CACATACATCGAAGAGCCGGCATTGACGTCAGCGAAGCACAGCATGATATGGGTGTTCATGGGGTAAGCCACACACACACACACACACACACACACAGAAGCACACGTGTACGTGTGCAGGATGTCTTGGGATTTAGGGGTATGTAAGACCGGGTCAAGTCACAACGAGGTTTTCTCCCCCATCCCTGAGTTTTTAATAAGGGAATGCGAAGGCTTGGTGCGGAATGGTGATCGTCCAGATAGTGTAAAAACGGCTGAATCGTACGAGGACCTGGTCACCCTGATGATGAGGTCAACATCCTTATAGACCCCACAACGAAAGTATTGTACCGCCCTAGATTTGGGGATTATCTTCGGCTCTCACTCACATGCCCCATTCTTGAGAATCCACACGGCAACCAAATAAAAGGCCGAAATGAGAAATTTCAACAAACTACCTTTTATTATAACGAAAATGTATCGAGAGGAAAAAAACAGAATTGTTATCGGGACTAGCCCGTTGAAATCATTTTAGAATCAGATATATTGGTCATTCCGTCACAAAACCTTTACACGCCTCTGTAGACTCTTTATAGGATTTCGAATCATGGCCATATCGATATTAGTCCAACCGCTGATTAAATATGCCTCTGGTTCATGCCTTACGGTGTAAATTTTGGAATGCTGGTGTACACCTTTCGGGTAAGAATAGGCCATGGATTTGACACATCTGACTCGGTTTAAAAACGGGTGCTTCGGCATGGCAGCTAGCAACCGAGATGAGATGCGGTCGGCAGAATGGTGTATGCTACGGTCATGTGACACCGTGGCGACTGTGGCTCGGATCAGTTTCAAGGGCCTTGAAAGAACAAAGGTATCCAAGTTGGACATCGCATGTCAGTGTCAACCATGGCGCGTTGGAAGCGGCCAACCGACAACAAAGAAATCTAGAATTGATATCTTTTTTGAGATGGATATCAGCGCACAGGAGATAGTTATCAAACGGTGTAATAGGTCCACTGTGGCACGCTATTAAAAGTGGAAACAGCTAAAATCCAATCGTAAACTGGATGGACACCGGAAAAGACAAAACACAGATTGGCTACGTATGGCTTCAAACTTCATGAGTCATGATGCATCGGAAATGAAAAGCGGTGCTTGAGCTGAACGCGACCGTTCCAACGTTCAATCCGAAATGGATGAAATTCAAGAAACGGAGAAGGTGTACGACTCTAAAAATTTTACAGACACCAGGAAAAAACGGATGGGATTTTGTTTACCAAAGCAAAAAAAAACGTTGCACGGAACTATTATTGGCATGATTTGCGGAAAGACAAACAGTACTTTACTAAGCGGATTGACAATCAAAACTCCGTGATGATATGTATGAGATGCCTTGTCAAGTTGTGGTCCAACTGAATGCAATGCATTACGTGGGATGCAAGATTGCATNTGTACATTGAAGTGGCATCGTATACCAGCAATAGTATCATCAACTGGTCATTCTGAGATCATTTTTTGCAGCAGGATAACACCACAGCTCATAACTCGGATCGATCAAAGAGCTGCTTACCATATGTTGTAGCAGCAAAACAATGATGTGACCTATGTGTGGTTCAAATTTGAAAATATTTGATCCATTCTTCCTTCGAACGGTGTGTGCCAATACTCCAGAGCACAAATTAGAGGTATCTTAGATGAAGAAGCGGAATAATATCGATACGGACATGATCGGAAATCTTACCGAGAATATGCTGAGAAGGTGTGCACAGGTATTGAGATGGAAACACCAATGCATCCAGAACTAAACACTTCAACGAACAGATTCCAGGATGACGGGTGAGTTTTGTCTCGATGGCAATTCTGTTGTTTTTTTTCGTTGACATATTTTTGTTAGAATAAAAGATAATTTGATGAAATTTCTGATTTCGGTTGTTCATTTGCATCTATACCTTTTCAACTTCGAATGAATCCGCTGTAACTTCAAGTGAATACAACCAATCGCACTCCATTGGAAACCCCACAAGATTATTGGTGTTTCAGCCGTTAAATGTCACCCATTGGACCGC